CTCAACTAGGTACCTATATCAACATCATTATGATTTTTTATAAACAATTGAGAACAATAAATTCAGATGATGAACAATTGGATGTCTTGAAGTGTTTTAGTATTGTTTTAAGTACATTTTTTAGTAAGAAAATAATTTATAATTTATTCATACAAATAACTAGTAAATATGTGTCCTACTGGTAAATACCTAAATTAAARAATTAACGTTAAAGACTAGYCAATAACGATATTTATGATCAATTTAGACAGTATAAAATATCGACTAGAGATCAATGTCCATTATTTTCAGGAAATGGTGCATTTTAAAATGAGATATTAGATTCCTCATGAGTTKGTCTAGTTAAATTTTTATGAGCATTTGAGTTCAGATTTTCACTAAACATATAATAATATCAAGATCCTAACTCAATTTCTCGTGCAACGATATTTCTATTTTGTTGCGATTTGAAAACGAGTACCTAACTATAGATAGGTACTTGAAATTTACATCAAATGTTTATCTTATCATTTCCTATACTTGGTACAATTTTCTAAATATTTTGACGTGTTTTTAGTTGTTAACTGATAATTTTAGTTTTCAATTTTTTTGGTTTTTATTTGTTGGGTCAAATAGATTGAAAATTTAATACAGAGTTCCTGATATATTGTTACAATAGCAGTTGAAAAATATTAAAAATATAAAAGCCCAAATATTTTTATAAGCATTTAAAGTTAAAATGTTGACTAATTGTATTAAATTGAACATTTTCAAATTATTTTGTTGTTATTTTTATAAAAGTTTTAACTTGTATCGTTAAGAATTAAAACGAGATTTTACTTAAGTAGTTCATTAAGTAAAAAAAATCTACAAAAAACATAAACATAGTTTTTAAGTAAAAAATTTGGAAGAAATTACATATTAAATAACCAAGAATAACAATTTTAGTAATATTGTTGTATTTTAAAAATATAATATTTATTCGTGGGTACATAAAACTTTTAAAGTATATTATTATATATAAATATGATAACATGTAAATGATATTAATTCAACTTACTGACTACATAATTAGTAATAAATAATAATATTATAATAACAATTWAAGTATAATATAAAATATCCAACAAATCGTCTCCGCTCAGAATCGTTTTTTGCATACAATGGTACCTATTATATCAATGAATTCAAATTTAACGCCATCCATTACAGTGGCCCACTTGTAACTAACTGTAAAGCAGAGCATCCCACTTGCCACTCGCACGTTTTTTTTTTGAATTTAGTAAAATATATTATGTATAATATTGTATAGCTTAGGTAGTTCTTACTTTCTTAGTAGATTAAAAACATTTTAATAGCTGAAGTGTATTATGGGTATATTATAGTGTATTATCTCAAACCGATTTTCATTTAAGCGATTTATAGGAAGACAGATTATGGAATTACGTAAAATATAGTCCGTAGATGCTGGCATACTTATACTTCTTGTAACTATTACATAATATACTCTGACTTATACTCTACATATTCAAATACAAAACAATCATAATACCTATTACGTTAATAAATTTATTTTGAGCATTTTATTTTATTAAATTATATCTAACATTTTTTTTATTTTATATTGTTTTGTTTTGTTTAAAATCTGATTTTTAGAATTTTTAAGTATAACTATTTAATACTATCATATTTTAGTTATTTAAATTTTTGCATCATTTAAGGAGTAGAACTGTTGCGATGTAAAATTTTTTTTTGTCAAACGATTATAAATCTTTTTTACTGTAAAATGTTGAGCATTTCAGAAAATGGTGCAATTTATATAAAAAAAAAAAATTTATATGTTTTATATAATAATTATAATTTTTATTTGTTTGACAAAAAAATGTGACACTTATGCTGTTACTTCAAAAGTTGTTTTTTGTGTTCTTTTAATTATATTTAAAATAAAATTATGTAATATATTTCATACCATATCCTTTATAGCCAACTCAATCGATCATGCCAAGAAAAAAAAAATACAGAAAACGGTTAAAAACGAAAAAATTTATGAGTTCTTTCACCAACATGTACCGATCACCAAGTGGCTTCCAAAATACAACAGTAAAAATGCGATGGGTGATATGATAGCAGGTATCACAATTGGGCTCACAATGGTACCTCAAAGTATTGCATATGCATCGCTAGCTAATTTATCACCACAGGTAATATTTATTTGAGTACTTTATCAACACCCACAAGTATGGGCATAAATAAGTAGTGTTTAATATTTGGGGGGGGGGGCTGAAGCTCAAGTTTATATTGGACACTTTATTGACACTTATAATGTGTGGTATGCATGATATTATGTTTTTTAGAGAGGAGAGACTATACAAAGTTAAGTGGTTTAGTCCTCGCTTATTTGCGCCTATACCCATAAGACAGAACGTGTTTTTTTTTTATTTAATTTTTTTTTTTTTGTATTTCTTCAGTTTTCATATGTTATTTTTTACTCATATAATTTAAACCAACTGCTTTAATTAAGAATTGAAAATAGATCTATTATAAGGAATTTTGAATGCCCGTGCACAATCATGAATTTTTTCCGTTTACTCTGATTTCTGTAATATGGCTGAATTTGCGATGTGTAGATATAGATGTGAATATTCAGTTTTTTTATGATTGTTAAATTAGATATATTTAAAATAAATACTTGACCTAATAACTCTTACATAGATTATGACGATTATGTAAATAAATGATATATCGTATTTATCGAGTAGATGTATTTACCAACATTGGCAACATCTGTAATAAATTAGTAACTATTGATCTACCAAGTATCAATGGTAACGATAGTAACTGTGATAAACTATATTTTTAAATAATTTTAATTAACTCTGTCCATGGAATGTATATTATAAAATKAGATTATTTATTATTTATTTTTAGGTACAAATATTAGTGATTTATTCCCCTTTTAATTATACGTGGTATATTGATCTAAGTTTTGTAAAACAATACTCGTATGATATATATTATRATATTATTGTTACACCTTWTAWAAGTCAATACTGGACGTGCACRTAATGTACTGAAGAATAATATGAATAACTTTATGGTATTACTTAATAGCTTATAATTAGACTAAATATTTTATACATTTTTTTGTGTGTATAAAATAATAACAATATATTATACACTACAATCGTAGGTAATGGTAAAAAGTTTTAAGAATCCACAATTCAAATAAAATCTCCAACGACAGAGTATAGTAGAGTATAGACACGAGTATTATAGTAGCATGTAATGTAAGTAGGTACCTATATTTGAAAATGCCAATAGCGTAGTTGGAGCTCAATCAAGGGAGGGGTTATTTATTTCACTCAAATTTGTACATAGAATTTGCAATAAAATATTATCTTAATTAGAACRCTATTGTTTATATAAGAATAGAAACAAAGTAAATCTATGTTTGTTTACATTAATACTTAGATAAGTTGTTTAATTACTAARTTGTCAACATATTTACTATAAAATGTAATKTGTATATTAAGCACATATTACGATGGCGTCAATTTTATTATGAAGTGATGTTTCACGTCATAACGTACCYAACCCATAGGAAACGGATGAATAAATCACTGTAGAATAATTGTAGAGTGCACTACCAATAGGCTATAGTATAACACCCTAATTATTTTATATTTGACATAACAACAATTTTAAYATGAGTTGTAACTTACGCAATGTTTATGAACTATAATAACAATAGGAATCAATATTAATCGAATAATAATCTTCGGGACCGAATTAATATCCGTGGTAAGTGGTAATACAGTTTTATGATTCTCTGTAGGTTGTTACACATTATTTCGTTGCTCAAGGATTATACTTTTTTTCACTCCGTATGATAGGAATAAAAAATACAAGTATGTATATTATATAGGTATAAACTGAATGTGTATTTATTGTTGTCACTGTTCAATGTTTTCCGGATGCATAAATAAATTATTACGAAGTAATATAGTAATTACGTATCTTAATTAAAACGATACCCAGTACTTAGAAGTTAGAATGAAATGCTTCAGTAGGCTCTATGTTGACGGTTTAATGAATATATTTATA